TTTTTTTTTTTTGATTTATCGTTAAATTGTAAATTATCAATAAAAAATTACGTACAAATTATTTTTTGTTATCTAGTTTGAATATATTTATTATATAACTAATGATATAATAAAAAAAGATTTCTTTTTGCTTCATTTATTATTTTCAAGTTTTCATTTAATGTAGTGTTGTAATAAATTTTGAATTTAATATCAACTAATTGTATTTATATCATTTATATCATACTGGAAAGAAATCTTTTACCTTTTTCTCACTCGTCTTCAGAGATAAGTCATTATGCAACAAGATTAAAAAATCACCGCATAAAAATTATTATAATCGCAATCATCGACTTTCACCGACACTTTGTACGTCGCATTAGAAATAACGATGTAAATTATTTTCTCGCTCGAGCTTCTCCCGCCATTCTCATCTCTGTTTTCTCTTTTGCGAAAAACAATTTTATTACTTTAAACGATCATATCAAATGCTCGTTTCTCACCGTATCTAATAGTAGTAAAAATCTGAAAGATTTATATTATTACATTTGACTAACTAATAATATTGAAAAATGAAGAGAAAAAAAATAGGAGAGTAGTTATAAAAAAAAAAAAATAACAAAATAGAAGAAGAACAGAAATAAAATATGAAGTGATTTAGAAGTAAATAAATTTTCTATAATTTTACATATAATGCATAAACTCTGTAATAATAATGATGATGCTTTATTTTGCAGAGATGAATGGTACCAGACTTGGTAGGGGTCGAGGTGGCCGCCTTGCCGTATACGTGGGTTGCGGGATGGTGGTCATTCTCCTGGTGTTCCTCTACCGCGCCGCCACCTCAGAAATGGCCAGGCTTCAAGAGCTTAATGTCCAATGTTCTCATCAACAGGAGGCTCTTGCCGCTCAACTTCAAGGTATACACACACACACACACACACACACATACATATATATGAATATATCTTCGAATGGACTTTATAAAAATTTTAATCTGAATTTAGTCAAGGGAAATATATTTATTATAAAATAAAAAAAAAAAAAAAGAAAATTACAATAAATCATAGATCAACGAAATAATCATAATGAAGGAATATCACTATGTTGAAAAAAATAAAATACGCGATACGTGAAGTTGTTTCCGTTGTCATTTTCAGTGATATTCGAATACAAAGTGAGGTTAGAAAAATCGTTGGCCGAGGAAAAGAGTTCGAACGCGGCTGTGAAACAGGAGCTTCAGCAACGAGCGTCCAGAGAAAAATCCCTTAGAGATAAGGACAGTATAGAGGCGATGCAGAGATTCAACTCTTTGCAACAAACGTACAAGTTGCTGCAGACGGAGCATCAGGATTTGAAGGAGGAATGCAAGAAACGGGACCAGCAAGCTTTAGAGGACACTAGTAAATTGGAGACAACTCTCAGAGAGCTTCGTAGTCGGATTAGACAGGCGAGGGAGGACAAGGAGAAGGCTTTGGAGCATTTGAAGAACAAGTTCCTGGAGTTGGACACGCAGAAAAACGAATTGGAGCAAAAGTACAATGACATGTTGAAAAATAACGTGGACACGGATAGCACGATTGAACATTTGAAAAAGGAGGTGATTCAATTGAAGCGCGAGCTGGATGAAGCTAAAGTAAATCAATTTTTCTTATTATAAATAAAAGAAAAAAAAAAAAATTCTGACGTTAATTTCTAAGAGATTGATTGATGGTGTAACGCAATTTTTTTTTCCTTTTTTTTTTTTTTTTTTTTTCCCCCATTCTTACACAGAAACTCGCCCCTCAACGCACATTGTCTAGGTAAAAAAAAAAAAAAAAAAAAAAATTTTGACTTTAATTTTTAAGAGATTGATTGATGGTTTAACTTAATTTTTTTTCCTTTTTTTTTTTTTTTTTTCTCTCTCTCTCTCGACAGAAATTGTCACGCAAAGCCACTTCTCCTGGATCAAGCGTATCCAATCCGCAACCAATAGCGTCACAAGCGAAATCTGGAGAAGAAGAGAATGCAGAAAAACCTGTTGATCGGTCGCAACAGCAGCAGGTAAGTCCACCGACAAATGACGTTAAAAATCCGCAGCCATTGAACGCGCCAATCGCTCAACAAACGATTGAGGATACTCTGCAATCGAATGAGCAACGAGTGAACGAGATGAACAACGTTCGATTCGCCCAGATGAATGGAAACATCGTCCCCGTGGGCCCTAACGAGATGAAGGAAGCAGAAGTGTTACCGTTGCCGTACGATTTGCAAGAGAAACGCCAGAGAAAGGAGAACGATCAATCCGTGATCGATGATAATCAAATTGAGAGCGATAAGATCATTGAGAGGGACGAGGATCGCAATGAGAATCGCAACGAGGAACAATTGAGACAAGTCATTCCACCGCCCAATCAGAACAATGAGAAATTCAATGAGAAGAAGTCCTCTTCCAATTCACCGGCAAACGAAGTGTCGCATAAAATTAACAAGAATCTTGATGACAAGAAGGTTACCACGGATGTATCAGAGAGTAGGGTATCGTGGTTGAAGAAAAACGAACATTCTGATCTTAATAATGAAGTAATGGATAGGATAATTGGTCAGCAAACTTCTGAGAAAGTGGAGGAGAAATTGGAAAAAGTTCAGAACAATGTTGATGGTATTTTGAATCAGATTTTGAGAATGATCTGAGAAATTAGGTTGAATGAGATTTGCGGAGTTTTGTCAGATTCTTTTTTTCTAGGGAATAGGCATGGATAATTGTATTTAATGGTATTTCTTGAAGAAATGCCTATCGTCTTTTATATAGACACGTTAAAATTAATTTCCAGCTCATCTCATGTGAGTGTTAACTCAGATCCTAGTTATGATTTCTTTTGAAATGAAGATATTCAAAGCGTTTTTAAAACATGAACAAAATTCAGAATTATGTGATAAATTTTTAACGGTGAATTAGTTGATATTTTTTGCAAGAAAAAGAAATTATTATATTGATCGTTGATGTTGAAAATATATAATGAATTGAACAAATGTTTATATAGCTGTTCTAATAATAATTGTAACAAGCTGTGAAAAAACTTATTGGCTTGTACAGATTAAGGAAAAGTGCCTTTAAGTGATTGCTGAGGAACTGAGTCTTTCTAGTGTAATATTTTTAGTAATATTTATACATGCACGTAATTTGCATGATTTGTACTTGGTGCTGTAGCTAGATAATTTCTTTAACTGATCCGTAAGACTTTAAAACAAATTACAAAATTAAAAAAAGTATTTTTTCTTGAATATGAAATACAATGAACAACAAAATGTGACAATATAATATAATAGAGAGTTTGAAAAATTGCATGACAGAGTAATTTAATTAAGTATTTAATAATACTGAGAAAATTTTGCTAATTTTATTTATAATTGGTATTAATTATTATTATTATTATTATTATTATTATTATATATTATTATAAATGTTGAATTAGGATACAAAAAATGAACAAATAAAAAGAACAGCAAAATTGCTTCTGAACTATTATAAACAACTATTTAATTCTAGTATTATGAAATATGATGAATAAATATTGTGTACATTATATAGAAATATGAATTGAAATACGAATTGAAATTTTCTATCAGAAAAATCTATTTTTCCTTTTCAAACTTAGACAATCATAAACTTATAATATTGACATAGCAATACAAAAAATCCACTAACTCAAATTTAACTAATAATCTTATTTACATTCTTTTAATGGTTGAAGGTGTCTTAAGTATTAACATCCTTTTTTTTTTTAATGTAGATTTTTTTGAATGAAGGTATTTTAAGTGCAATATCTTAGATACTTTATGTAATGAAAGAATAAATGTCTAAGATCTGCCAAGAATGTTTTAGCAATTGTGTAAATGTCAAGTATTTTTTTTCTTTTTTTTATTTGTGTTATTATATTTATGAATTTGTATATGTAAATTGGAATAAATAATTAGGCTGTCAAGAAATGATATTCAATTTTAATTATATTTAATTGTGATGTTTTTTCAAATTGAATTATTCATAAAATGAATTTTCATAAAATACGGTTTATTATAAAGATCGATTTAATTTATTGACAGCTTAAGTG